TTGTCATCACTGACTCCACACGCACCTATGAAGAGACATGTACACAGGAGTCTGTGATCTCATTAGTTTTGCAAGGGGTGCCAACCGTCCCAGGGTGGTTGCTGTTTATAAAGTACAGGGAAGAAATACTGACCACATGACCACACTTTAAAATATATGTAATAGAAAGAACGGTGCTTAAAACAAGCAGGATCTCTTCCTTATGTTCTCACAAAGCTTAGCTGAAAACATCTGTTCGCTCTGAAAGAGAAGTGATTAAAAAGGGCAACCAAAAAATCTTGCAAACTTTTGCATCACAGAGCCGTGGTATGTTTTTTCCGTTGAATGAAAGGCTATAGAAGAACAGCGGAGGAGAAGGATCAATGCATGCGTACCGCCAATGATCACTTAATCATGCCCTGGAGTGCCTTAGAGCAGCAGTGCGACGAGAGAAGTCATGCAAGTGGCCTCCATACACAGGACTACTGGCTGCAACAGGGTGGGAACCGGGAACGTTTACAGAGAAGGTCCGGCGAACAGTTTGTTCATGAAGTGCTGAATGGATCCCTAACAACCTTGTAACTGGTAAGCGGTCTTAAAATACGATTAGACAGCTACTGAGTAGTTTGTATGTCATTATTATGAAAGCCCTGAGTAAGCAACTGCAGGTTACAAAGGGACATCCAGAAGCAGAACGTATTTCTAAAGAAAGCCCTCCATATACACTTCACAGGGACACAAGACTTACTGTACACACTGAGGTTGTGCACAGACTGTACCAGATCACAAAGGGCATCTGAAGTCAGGCCCTCTAAGACCAAGCACATTAGTTCAGCTGACAGAACGATGGCTTAAAACATATTTTACTTACAAATTCTAAACCTAAAATGTAAAAAAGGTTGACGGTTTACCCTAAAAAAACCACCCATAAAACATCAGAATAGGGAAGCTGAAGAGTTGTAAAACCTAGGACTAAAACCTGAAGTAACTGATTTTAATCGATTCAGAAACGCACCATTAAGTAACCAACTTCTTGTGGGATGTACTAGTTTAAATAGAAAAGAAACATAAAAAGCTTTCAGAAAATTGCCTCACATCATCTCATATTGCTCACGACCCCCTGACTCTCTACTGTCTTAAACGATATTTCTTCATCTATGTGATTTTCCTAATCAGATCAGGTCCCATTAATAAGAGACCTCTTACTCTAGCTCTTTTATTTCCTTCAAATTTAATAAAGAAAAGTGACTTTATTTACTGGCTCCTTCCACCTATTGTTCATTAAAAACACTGTTCCAAAAATATAAAGTTGAAAGCATGGACTTTTTGGGTATATACACAGATGCAATTAATAATCAAAAAGAGATGCCCGCAAATGTTCCCGGCGGCACTCATCTGATGACAGGTCACTTTCCGCACATGGCGGTCACCTGCTTCACAGCTACAAATGGGACCGGGGGTTCTTTAAGAAGCTCCTGAATGAAGTCCAAGAGAACAGAATCCCCGGCGACTGGGCACCTGACTGTGGGCTAGGTCCGTAGCAGGGGCTCCACGTAGGTAGGAGTTAGAGGAAGCTGCTAAGGAATGGGGCAGAACAGCTAGAGTGGGGGGTGGCTCCGGTGCTCTGAGGGGGCACTGCTGGCTATCCCCAGTAACAGAAAGCGGCAAGGCTGAGTTCTGGAGTCCAGATATCCCTTATTGTGCAAACTGACATTTGAGGAAACTCTCTGTTCAGAAATGACATGCAAATAGTGATGACAAGGTGCCTCAAGCCACGACTTACACATCCTAATGAACACTGCCTTTCAAAGTCAATTCTCTGGGGACTCAGATGCTCGACCTCCGGAGAGCCCTGCTTCCAGAACTCCCTGCAGAGCTGGATCAAGAGCTGACAAGAAAATCATCTCCACCTCATAGTTGTAAGTTGGTTTGGTCCCCAAAAGGTATCCCTCCAACTTAACATTTTTCACCAGGATTAGCTATAATGAAGCAAATCTGCTTTCAAAGGACAAAATAATAATAATGATAATTGCCGGCATCGAAAGGAGTTTGTTCAGTTGGACAAATGTGTATTAATCCCCCTGAAGTGTAAAGCCTGGCTTCTCCTGTGGGAGGATGGGGAGAGGTGCGCACGTGACGAAATTACGTGCACCAAGCACTCTGTTATGTTACTTATCAGCTTCTACTAACCCCCAGAAGACAAATTACCTTCTTCTTCAGGATCTCTCTAAAGGTTACTCCAAAAAAGGAATCCTAAAAATGTTTTGAGCAATGAGGGCAAGGTGACTCCTCTGTCGACAAGCATACTAATGTTTTCTCATCTCTCACTGGGTGAAAGAAAGCTTAAAAGTCCCAGAAATCTTGGAGGATCATGCAGAAAAGGTCTTAACTATCTTTTCTTTGTTCCCATCTCAGACGGTACCTGCAGATTAGAACTTCCACTAGAAGCAAATGCTGTGTGTCCAGGAGGAAGCTCTGACTGTGCCAAACTGCACGTCAAGTTGCATTTATCACATAGTACGAGGCTCAATTTCCAGTTCCTTTTATTCAGGACCCTGCGAGCTTTATACATCTTGGGCACATTTAACATGCTCCAGTGAGGAAAATACCTGTCAAAAACACTACGCCTGTCTACGGGGGTGGGAAAAGGGGGAGTACAAAATGTAACTTATTCAAGACGCAAGCTATTCTGATCTGGGTTCCCAGTGATCCCAGATAATACTAAATTCTTCTTCCCCGGAAGACCAAGTTATGGAAACCAAGGCCGTACCTATAGAAATGTGAAATGGCCACGCCGAGCAGCTGTCTTCTGTCTGTGTGTATCCAGAGCTTGGGTGGCGAGTCCGAGGCACGCGCCGTGTACCCGCACCCTCTCCAAGAGACCACATGAGCTCACTGGGGGTGACGGGGCGGCAGCAGCTGCTCTGAAGGGATATTTACAGTCTCCCGGTGGCACCCCCTTGCAACAGCACAATGCCTAAAGTGCCTTCGTTCAGGGTTCGAGCATAGGCTGGCTGCTGCTTTCTTTTTCCCTCTCGGGAGGCTACGGGGAGGGCAGGAAGTCCGAAGTAGCCTCCGGCTCCTCCGTCACAGTCGCACTGACCAGAGGAGATCCACACTAGCTGCTTGTGGGGGCAGGGGAAATGACACACAGGCCTTGGCAGCTGCCAGTAACAAGCGCTAAAATACAGAAGAAGCGATACCATTTTAGCACCGTTTCCCCAGCCTTTAAACATTTGTTTTTCTTTAAGCATTTTCCAGAAGTCCTCACGTAAGTTGCATACCTGCTTCATTAATCCGAGCTAAATAAATGCCAATTCGTTTAAAGACAGATAAAAGACAAAATCAAAACCCCTCCCTACACGAACCTCCGCCTAAGGAGAGGGTTCTCTTTGTCCTGGAAGAGAATCACCTGGGGCTGCTCAGGTAGCATGCACCTGTGCCCTTTAAGGGCCCTCACCTTCTACCCTGGGGCACTACCTTCCGCTGGACCTTCTCTTCCAGTTGCTAGAAGGAAGCAGCCTCTGGGGGGGGGAAGCCTCCATGACTTTCCTCCCACGCCCACTCTTGGCAGTTTGGCCTACTGGAGACCCCTGGCGTCACACGCTTTACAGGAGAACGCCTACCCAGGGTTGTATTATGCAAGATTAAATCCTACCTTTAAACTCTGATACAGTCTTAAAGCTGTAAAGACAGCTTGCTTTGCACTATTGGTGATGATACCAAGATTGATCAGAGAGCACATTCAGAACCGTGGTCCCCGATGCGATGCTCAAGCCTCATGGCTGGGCGCCGATGCTGGTTCAGTTAAGAAAATGGTGAGTAGACTTGCTCTACGTCTCACCCTCCCTTTAACTATTTTATTTCAATGAAAGTGTCTTCCTCTTTGGAAAAGAAAGGACACACCATTTAGTTCATGCAGAAGAGTTCTGCAAACTAGAATTTAAACTAGAATTTAATCTTGTAGTTCTTCAACCCTGGGTGCACAGGAATCAACTGGAAAGTTTATTCAAATGTAGGTTCCTGAGTCCCACCCCCCACTACTCTGATTCTTTAGTAGGTCAGGGTAAGGCCTGGGAATTTGCTGTTTGAAGAAGCAGTCCATGTGATTTTGATGCAGAGGTGGTCCAGAACACACTTTGCAATCATCAGCTTCCTCTAAGTAGAAGCTATATGCCTGTGAGTAAACTCCTCAACCTCTACACCTTACTTCTGAAATGGGTAATAAGCCCTAAAGTCTGAATGTCACAGTTTCACTGTACTGTCTGATTCAGATGGTGCAGGGGAAAGCATGCCGGCTAAGTGTGGGCACTAGATAGGGGTCATCTTAGGTGACCTGTCACATCTCTGCCAGACTGTCCCCCTGCTTGGGGTCAGTCCACACCACTCACCCCTTCGGAGCCACAGTCTCCCCCCCACGGACAGGGATGGCACTCCGTGTTTGTGTCTTCCTCCTCGACACTGACATGCCCACACCAATGCCCCAAACACCTGAACTACACAGGCGCTTCCTGACCACAGAGCCGTGGGAGAGAGGATTCTCTGAACGTCTAGGAATACCAACTCCACATTTCAATAGCTTCGACAAAGGGGCTTAGCCTTCCCCCCAATTTTTAGTCTAAGTTGATCGAAACACTGGCTATGTGTTACAGTCCTTGCTACAGAACTTGCTCATTTTCAGCTGGGGCGTGAAAGGTAAAAACAAAACACAGTACTGACAAACTCATTTGTCAAATCTGCTCTTATAACTTGCTGTTCAATTCTAATATAACAGCTATGATTTGGTTTCCAGGAGGCCCTTTGAACTGAAATATATAGCACCTTGATTTTTAAACACACAGAACACATACGCATTAAAAAAAAATTATATATAAAAGCACTAGGCTTTGCCTCCTTCTCTCCATCCCACCAAGTACGGGGCTGGAGAGGGTCGAAGCTGCTGCTGGGAATGAAGCAGGGCAACAAAACACGTTAGCAGACTTTATTCCCTGAAGGTAGGAGGCAGCGCGGTCCTGCAGACGTCATACCACCTCGTCAGACTCCAGTCCGTGGACCTCGTACAAAGTGTCCAGTATCGCCAGCTGCTTTTCCATGGCAGGGAGGTAAAGGCTGAGGTCCCTCTGCATCCCAACACTGAATGCTGCTTTCTGGTGGTCGCCTTCCTTGATGGTTAACGCGGCCACAAAATCTTCATAGGACGGAGCCGCCCTCAGAGCTAACTGCAAAAGAACTGCCCGTGAGAATCTGCACCACGTCTCTTGCTCTTGCACGCTTTACGCTCATGCATGAGCGCATACATGCACACACACTCACACACATACACGGAGATGAGGGGGGTGATACTACACCCTTCCAAGCCACGGGCTCTAAGAAAACAAGTATGTACTTGGGCCGTCTTGCGGATGAACGATGCCAACAAATCAGGGAGTGCTGAGGGAGAAGTTCTGAGAAAAGCTTCCTTCTCATTCACAGCATGATCCAGACCGTTCCTTCTGAATGCTCAGAATCCACCTGCGTGCATGCTGCCCCCCCAGGCTTTGTTCCCACGTGGCCAGCCTTCCAGGGCACTTCACTCTCCTATTTGTGTCCCATCCATATGTTTCTCTGCCTATCCCTCTCTCCCCCGACATGGAAAATATTTCCTCTGCACCCGTGACGATTTTCTCAGAGGGAAGGGAGCTACCCCTGTTGTTTGCTTGTACACTGATGCTGTAACGTGTCTTATCCCACTTAATCTGTGTAAGAACCCTGTACTGTTCATAGCCCTAGTTTACAGATGAACATTATATTGCTAACGAGGGCCAGCGCCAGGATCTGAACTCAGGATCGACTGTGTTTTTTCAACCATGCTGCCACACCACACCCCTTCCCTGATGGAACAGTTCCTAGGCTCTGGATGGCTCTCTTCCTTTCGTAGGCCAGTTGTTCCCTAAGGTTGCCAAAATCTGCTGGCTGGATCCACTGGATTGGTTCCGCTGAGATCTCTGGAGACTTTGGAATCTTCAATTAATTACGCTACACTTGCTTTCCTGAGCCTTCTTATTCTTGACAAGTCTTTGAGAATAAGCCCCACTCCCTTTCTGCAATTGGGGGCTGACCGGCATTATCATGCAGTGGTTAAAGCACAGGCTTGGGTGAAGGAGACACGGATTCAAATCCCAAATCTTCCCACATTATTAGCTCGAGAAATTTGAGCAAGGTGCTTAACCTCCTAGAGCCTGCGTTTCCTCTGTAGAAGAGGGCTGGTACCACTTTCCTTATTTGAAGAGATTAATGTAATATGTACAACATGCTGAGCTCACTTTCTGGTACACACCAAATACTCAAATAATGGCAGAAGTACAAGGGAGAGAGCAGAGAATGAAGGGAAGGCAATTATCTCAGCGTAATGTGAGAAAATCTCCTGGAGCTGAAGGACAGGAGCCTTCACATTTAAAGACCTACCCAGCACTCAGCATAATGAATGAAAAAGACAAAAGGAGAAGGTCATGCAATTTTAGAATGTGAGGATAAAGATCCTGGAAGCACCCTGAAGGATGAGGAACAGTCTATGTAAATGGAACAGGAACTCATTAGACTCTACAGTAGTAACAGTGGAAGCTGGAGGACAACAGAGGAAGCCTTCAAAATTCTGAGAGAAAATTACTATTAACCTAGAATTCTATACAAGCCAGAGCATCACTCTAGTAAAAAAGGGCAGAATAGGGGCACCTGGGTGGCTCAGTCGGTTAAGCATCCGACTTTGGCCCAGGTCACGATCTCATGGTTCGTGAGTTTGAGCCCCCCCCCCCGTCATGTCGGGCTCGTTCTGACAGCTCAGAGCCTGGAGCCTGCTTCTGCTTCTGTGTCTCCTTCTCTCTCTGCCCTTCCCCCACTCATGCACACACTCACCCTCTCTCTCAAAAATATTAAAATGTTAAAAAAATATACACATAAAAAAAAGAAGGGCAGAATAAAGACATTTTCAGGCAGGCAGGAATTCAGATGTTTAGCTCCCTTGTACCATTTTTCAGAAGCCACTAGGGGACGACACTAAAACAAGGGATTAGATCAAGAAATAGGAGGTAACAGAACTTAGGAAGCTAGTGTGAGATGGGGATTCTGTACAGAAAAACTTGTAAGGAAGAGTCCTAGGGCACACAGCAGTTCAACAGGCCTGAACAACGAATTAAGATTGGCACAGAGTTTAGAAAGTTCTGGAAGGGAAGTCTCACGGAAAAAAACTCAAGACATATAGTAAGATAGTATGATATATCTGTGGGTTCAGAATGGTGGTGATTTGAGAGATTTGATGATGCAAGGAAAATATAAAAACAAAATTAAAAAAACCCATACAATTTTGGCTCATCTTTATCATGTTAACTTGTAATATAATTATATTGGCAAGGTGGAGGGAGGGGAAGTGAGGTAGTGATAGCAAGGTCTAAAGACAGCTAAATCCTAATCTATAACAGAAAGTCAACATTAATGGCTAAAACTGATAAGGCCAAAAAGAACAGTAAACATTTTTAGGATTACAGAGGTACTGGAAGAGACAGTCACAGTAGTTGAAGGTGGCAGCATCTTTGGAGTAAGTCTGGGAAGGAGGGGACAGAAGGCAGGGGCCGCTATTTTTTGTTATAACTTTTGGACTTTTGATTAAAAAAAAAAAAAAAAATCAAGCCCTATGCATGTGTATTTAGGTACAATAAAATTTTTGAAATGTTTCTCCAGAGTGGGGCCCCAGACTATGTATCTCTCCAAAGGTTCCTACAGGACTATGATGCAGTGAAGTCGACTTAGGAACCAGTGATAGAACTCAACTGAAGAGGAAACCAAAAAGGTCAAATGAACAATGATTAAAAATCACGCTGGAGGCAGAGCCTGGACTGGGCTTCAGTGCCATAAATTACAACAGCGTGAAGATAAAAGTTCACTGTTTGGCTGGTAAGTGAATCAAATTCCCGGAGTGTAGAAGTTGTTTCACTGAGGAACTAAGACAGTTAAATGAATTTGCCTCTGCTAATTACTTAGCACCTTCAGAAACAATACACTTTCTAAAGCAGGGGTGACTTGGAGAGTAAAAGTAAGAGGCTCCAAGGGCTGAGTTAGCTCTTCTGTTGACGAGGCTGTTGCCAAATGCTCAACATAATCTATTTTCTTAAAAACCAGCAACTTTAAAAATTATTGGCAATACTATCAAGAACCTTCAAAATGTTCTTCCTCTATAATTTCGGGTGTATTACTTTACCTCTGTGTCTCAGGCTTCTTTGTCTATAACAGGGAAAGTAAGAGAACATACTTAGGAATTAGGAGATTAACAATTTTATGTATGTAAAGCACTTAAGACAACATCTGGTACACAGTAAGTGCTCAAAATTCTAAGTTCTAATAGTTCTTGGTATTAGACATAACAATTCCACTTCTAGGAACCTATTTTTTAGGAGATAAAAGTTTTACTCAAAAATGCACATAAACAAGTGCTGTTGACAACAGCCTCAGAAGCAGCTTAAATGTCTAACACAGAGGATTGGGCAAATAAATCATATTATCTCCATACTAGGGAAATATTATGCAGTCATTAAAAATAATGATTTTCAAAAACTCTTATGGCATTTAAAAATGGCCATGGTTGACTCTGTTAAGTGGGGGGGAGGGGGGAGGATAATACAAAATCACACAAGCAAAACATAAAAAAATTTACATGCATATACAGAGTATGCAAAATAATTTTACACATATAACATGTACATATTAAAATATAAATCCCTACAAGTAGATATATATTTAGATAAACATATAAAATTAAATAGAATAATCTTAAAAGAATATATAAATATACATACAAATAAAAGGTAAGAAGGTAAAACACGAAAATGTTAAAAATGGTTATTTTGTATGGAGTGGTGAGAAGATGGACAATTTAAATTTTTTCCCTTTCTATTCTGCCATGATTTCTACTTTTTTTTTTTTTTAATGAGTCTAAAGTCCTATATGCTGGGGAAAATGCTATAAATTAAAAATTGTTTTTAAGGGCGCCTGGGTGGCGCAGTCGGTTAAGCGTCCGACTTCAGCCAGGTCACAATCTCGCGGTCCGTGAGTTCGAGCCCCGCGTCAGGCTCTGGGCTGATGGCTCAGAGCCTGGAGCCTGTTTCCGATTCTGTGTCTCCCTCTCTCTCTCTGCCCCTCCCCCGTTCATGCTCTGTCTCTCTCTGTCCCAAAAATAAATAAACGTTGAAAAAAAAAATTGTTTTTAAAGAGCCTTGCTTATGTTAAATTTTCTGCTACGTTTGCATTTCTGTTGGCAACGTCTCTTGGATCATTAATATTTCAGGATTAAACTCTGACTCCTATACCGTAACAACAACTACAACACACAGCTGTTTCTTGTAAATAGGGCAACTCAGCGTTCCTGTGCTTTGTCATCTAACCAGGGGAACGCGGGTTTCCGTCCCCCGCAAGCAGTCAGTGTTTACTCCGGGATCAATGAATGTAGCTGCATCCACTGCTCAGCGGCAGCCTGTCGGACGCGGTCTTCCCTGCAGACGGTGGTGACGCGGCCTCGGAGACAGCGGAGGGGGTTTAGACCTGGGCTCTGCCACGGCTGCACTTTGGGACTCTGGGACTCGAACGGATAGTTCTGAACTTGTAGAACGGTGAGAGTAAATCCTGAGATTACTTAAGATAATGAACGTGGAAGTACCTAGCACTGTCCGTGGTTCACAAAGGTATCCGACGGCCAGACGGCAGCTATTACTGTGATTACAAAACATATACTGAAGGTGAGCGTGAGCACTCTAGCTGCAGCCGCCTAGCTCCTACGGCGGTGAGCGGTGGGGTACAGGCCTAGCCACCTCCAGGCCTTCCAAAACCAGTTCAGTCCATTTTATTTCTTCCACTGTGTTCTTCCCGCTTTCTTTACCTGCCCCCTGATAAGTCATGACCTAAAGAGTTCTCACCTCAGGCAAATAATGTCTCCTATCCTTTAATTAGTAAGGCACGTGCAAGGCTGTTTTTGCCCCACGACCTTCCGCAGAACACTCGCAGCTAACGTGTCTGCTCGTGAACCACCACGTGGCACTCTGCCTTTTCACAGCTGTCCCTGACTAAGGCTGACCTCTCCTCAAATGGCAGAATCACAGAGTATTACTGAGGACATAAAGGGGCCATCTATCTACTCCTGCTATTTTACGAAAGCAGGCTAAGTGATTTGTCCAGGGGACTACGATTTCCAGGTGTGTGTTCTTAGGTCAACATGCTGGCAAGGAAGGAGTGGCGGAGTAACAGGAGCCCAAACACACAAGGACAAACGTCTCCAACAATGAAAATAATGGTCTGAGAAGGCCTAGCTGCTGGCACACCCAATCAGACAATTAGTCAAAGACGAAATCCAACTAAATGCAAGAAAAATCCATTAAAATCTTAGAATTAACAGGATGGAATACAATGGGCAGCAGAGGGAGCTATGAGCTTGAAGGCCCCACTCATCTCCCATCATTGGTGAGTATTTGGCAGCTTCCTGCCTATCCCTGCACGGATACCCTTTACTCCCTTATCAGAAAGGCAACCACTTCTGTGGCAAATTCCCACAATGTCATTGGAGGTGGACAGGGGAAAGCATGGTAACAGTCCTCTTTATTCCAGACGCTTTTTTTTTTTCCAACATTTACACACAAAAAAAGATCTACATAGACTTAAATAGGCAACATTATGTTCCTATTCTTGAGAACAAAGCAAATAGAAATGCTATGCCCGCATGCACGCGCGCGCGCACACACACACACACACACACACACACACACACACACACCACCCTGCTGTGACCATCAGAACATAGAAGGCAGGATCACTTACCGCAAAAACCCCTCGAACTACCCAGCCGTGGTGCTGCCGTAATGTTTTACCATATGCGTTATCTTGAAAAGAAGAAAAACACCATGAACCACAATTTCACCAGAATTTGATGTGCTGTTTGTATCACGTCCTTTCTAATGTACACGGTAGCATGATACTGTTAGTATTACAAGCTGATGAAAAAAGTCTAATTACAAGATTGTGTATCCCAAGAGTCTTGAGTAGGAAAAAAGCCTTACACAATTTTTTTTTTTCCCCTAAGAAACACAGATAGTTCCACTCTTCCCTTGGGCAAATGTATCTGAACTTCATTTTATTTTCATGGTGGGAAAAGTCCCATACATATCAGGAAATAAACGTGCGGAGAGGATACTGGAAAAGCTACACTAAATACAAATAGAAATACACTATAAGAATATAAAAATGCAGGGGCACCTGGGTGGCTCCGTCAGTTAAGTGTCCGACTTCGGGTCAGGTCGTGATCTCACGGTTCGCGGGTTTGAGCCCCGTGTCAGGCTCTGTGCTGACAGCTCAGGGCCTGGAGCCTGCTTGGGATTCTGTGTCTCCCTCTCTCTCTGCTCTCCCCTCCCTGCCCTGCTCATGTTCTGTCTCTGTCTCTCAAATATAAATAATAAATGTTTAAAAAAAATATATATATAAAAATGCAGTTCTCTGAATGTTGTGTGACCCTGAGCCAGTCCCTTAGCTGTCCTCTCTGTTTCCCTCTTTGTAACCTCTGAGTTTCTTTTCAATTCTAACATTCTATTCTGGGATGTCAAATGTTTGTTCTAGATGTCCCTATGGCCCTGGATATGCAGTATCAAACCTAGAAACCTTTAAAGCTACTGTGGAAAGAATGGCTTGAAGTTACTAAGCTAGTTATAAAGTACTTGGTGAGACCTATTAGTAAAAGTCATTCACATTTAAGCCTTTAAAGATAGAAACTTATGAATTTTGTCCCAATGTGTTTGAAAATGGGGTTTAAAAACTTGCATATAATAATTTTAAATTTTTTTTTTCAACGTTTATTTATTTTTGGGACAGAGAGAAACAGAGCATGAACGGGGGAGGGGCAGAGAGAGAGGGAGACACAGAATCGGAAACAGGCTCCAGGCTCCGAGCCATCAGCCCAGAGCCTGACGCGGGGCTCGAGCTCATGGACCGTGAGATCGTGACCTGGCTGAAGTCGGGAGGCTCAACCGACTGCACCACCCAGGTGCCCCTAATAATTTTAATTACAAAAAAATCTGAAGAACAAAATGACTGCATGTTGTTCAAGGGATGTGTTCCTGAAGGCTTTGAATAATATACGCAAAATTCAGAACAGATCCTTCCACAGGAGTAAGTGCATTCTCGGGAGGCACAGGTCTACGTCACCACAGTGCACTTATATTAACGCTCCGTTTCATTTCTGAGCAGCGTCTCCAGTGCTCACAGTACTTACTCATTCCTAAATGACAGCACAGGGGGTCACGGGGGTTGTCTGACCTCATTCAGCATGTTTTATCATATCTAAGCTTTATCCCACACTTATTTATTTCCATGAGCTAGTTTCCGGACTGATACAAGTACTACCACCATTTAATCAATGTTTAGGTGACATTACAATAGGATGTAAAAATGTTTCAAATTATAGCAAGAGCAGATGTTAAAATAATGCAAAAACAGACACCAAGGCCACAACCACCATTTCATGTGGTCAACAGCAGTGTGGTTCACAGAATCCTGCCAAAGGGTATCAGGTATCTGCATTTTACTGGCCAAAACAGTGCTGCCATGTGGCTGTAGCTTAAATGCATCTTACAATTTGCTCAAGCCCTCTAGCTTTGAAATTATGTAATTCGTGTCAACTTTTATTTTTAAAACTTGCATGAGCCTTTCTTAATACTTGTAGCATATATTACTATCAATTTTATATAATTCAAGTTTGCATAAAGTACAATTTATATTTGACATAAAAGACTGTACATTTGAAATCTGATAGATTTCTCTGGTTATCTGAAGTTTTAGGAACAGGTGGAAATGCCAGCACCCCGGCTGGTAAAGCTAAAGCAGAAATGATAAAGAATTACTAAATTCAAGTATGAAGAAGACTCTTGTGAGCAGTCTACAGGAGAACGGAAGATTAATTTTGGTTTTTTTTCGGGGAACAGTCTGAATAGACTTAGGGCATGCTCACAGATACAAGTCTTCAATCTCAGCCACTCTTAAAATCTGATTCCCTAAGGGGACAGATGGTATCAGGGACATTGCAGGTGGTCTATGAGGCTTTAGTGAAGGAAGGGTTGCTGGCCTACTAAATGTACAGTGCAGATGGGCAGAAAATACCAGGCACAGCCTCTGAGGTACATCAGGAAGAGAACCAACTTTCCAGCCATCCTTTCCAAGGAGCCATTCGGGCCGGCAAGTCAGCGGACAGGTCCGCGGGTGCTCCATCCTGAGGTGAGTCACAGGGGTAGGATACTGGGAACACTTCAGTTCTTGTGATCTTAATCCAGGTGAAGAATTAAATGCCATTATGAATAAACAGACGGAATTCAACGATGTTCAACTCTGCCAGTGGATGTCCACGATGGGACGAGGGTCTACCAATGCCCACTGGGCAAGGCAGGGGAAATCCTTAGGTGATTTAAAATCAGTCAGTCCACGGCCCTCAGGAAGTTACCGGACTTATGAGAGCCAGACATTTGACAGAGTGTTATTATGTAAACTGCCAACTGCTATAGTAAAGATCTGTGTTCAGTTCTTTCTGTAGGAACACAGAGAAGAGAGAGAAACGAACCCAGCCTGTGGGCATGTAGACAAGGAATTCTCCAAAGGAGTCCCAAAAGCTGGCGAGGGCAGAGAGAAGGGTGGCGGCTGGGGCCGCAGGGAGCACCAAGGAACTGTGAGGGACGGTGGCATACTGTGCACAGGGGAGCAGTTCGCTGGGGCTGAAGATCACTGGGGCCGAAGGGTGAGGGCCTTTACATGCCGTGCCAAGGATTCTGGATTTCCCACTGGAGGCACAGTGGCGCTTCTAAAAAAATATAACACCTAACTGCTTGTTTCTAATTTCACAAGTAACTCATGCTCATTGTTGAAAAGAAGGAAAACACCCAAAGGAGGAAACTAAAGAAACCTATAATCATGCCTCCCAGAGATAACCAGGTGGGCATTCCGGGGGGTTCACTCTCTTAGTCTTTTTTCCTATACAGACTGTGTTATTTTCTCCTAACAGTCGTGACCATTCTGATTTGGAATTGTGGTCAGGGAAGTAACAAGGTGAGATTTACACTTCGTTATGCTAGGCCGCAAACACAGCCGTCTTGGTCCTCAGTCTCGGGCTCTAAAGCACTCCTGGCTGGACAAACTGCCTGTTTACAAAGGCTCGGGATCCAGTGAGTGCTACACCAACCTCACGGGCTTACACCTTTCCTACGCTTTGCTACTTGAGTCAACCATTTAAAAAAGCCCAGAAACTCGACTTCGTGCCACCTTCCTTAGGACAGCAGGAAAACACGGGTGCCATGAGTCCCAGTAACGTGGGCGGTCTGGGCTCAGGACGGGGGAGTGTTCGTGCACAGCAGCATGATCTGTGTCCTCCCGCCCAGCCCTTCTGGAGGCAGTTGCCTTGCTGTGCCCACAGAGAAGAACTCTGCCGCTGGGTAAAATGTGGGCCGGCTAGTCTAACGGGAGAAGAAGGAACCAGAGAATCTGGGCTGGGTCCCTTCCCAGGTCCAGGAAGAACACTATTGCAATTTTAAACCAACAAATGAAAGACAATTCGTTTAAAAAAAAAAAAAAAAAAAAAAAAAAAAAAAAAAAAAAAAAAAAGTCTTGCCAAAGTCCTTAGCTGACTTCTAGGGCTGCAAATATCCCTGCCACGTGAGGCTACATTAAAATAAAATGAAGTCTAAGCCTGACCTATTTTGGTTACCTAGAGAAGATTAGATAATGAAACACATTAATCTTCACTGTAATATCCATTCATTATCATAATGCATGTTCTATAACCTGGAAGTATTTTTGGCCTCTGAGAGACATAAATGATCCCCTTCTCCCAGATCTTTGAGATGTGTCAGTTCCTCAGAGACTGAGTCAAAATTTCTGAGTAGGAAGCCATGACAATCACCTTGCCCAATTCTTTTCCTTTTACAAAAGAAGAAACAGAAGACCCGGAGAGATGGTGATTTGCCCAAGATCACAAAGCTAAAAGCGATGAGAACTGGGGCCTTCTTCTTGTCACATTAAACCATTCTGCTAAAAAACTAATGTGTACTCTTTGTGAAACAAAATAATGAAAATAAAAAATGTCCTTTTTCCAGCAAGAATCAGAACCTTATTCTGTTTATGGAAATAAAATAAATCCGATTTCTTTACTGGTAACTCAGAAACTTGCCGAGGCATTTACTTATTTTTATTTTTCTAAAAGATTTTTTTTTGGGGTGCTGGTGGCTCAGTCGGTTAAGAGTTCAACCTCGACTCAGGTAAGGTTGTAAGTTCAAGCCCTGTATCGGGCTCTGTGCTGACAGCTCAGAGCCTGGAGCCTGCTTCGGATTCTGTGTCTCCCTCTCATTCTCTGCCCCTCCCCTGCTTGTGCTCTCTCTCTCAAAGTAAATATTTTTAAAAATAATAAAAGATTTTATTTTTAAGTAATCTCTACACCCAGTGTGGGGTTCAAACCTAGAACTCTGAGATCAAGAGTCGCATGCTCCACTGACTGAGCCAGCCAGGTGCTCCAGAAATTTGCTGAGGTATTTAGTGATTGATTTTGCCTAAACCTGTTATAGCATGCGAGAGAGAACAACTTTTCCCTTACTGTTGGTACACGCTGTTCTGTCCAGGAACTGAGTATGACAGTTTCTCTACTGTCAATCTGTAACTGGTTAAGAATTTGTCAAGTTACTTCGGGTTGTAAAGAAGACAAAGGAGAAATGCAAATCTAAGTTTTAAGAGAGATCGCAAAAAGTATATAAGCAAAGCCGGGAAAGGTGGAATCAATCATTCACTGAGTTTAAGAGATGACAATCATCTTAGCTCTGCAAATGGACCATGCTAGCCAGTGCTTGGCAAGAATCAGGAACCAAGAGAGGTTGGAAAGTGAATAAATCTGAAAAATAATACTGAATGAATTTGTATACAATGTACAGTATATGAGTTTAACACTTGCAGTACAATCCTCAATACTATTTATAGACACATAAATGTACAGAAAAATTATAAAAACGCATATGACCATAAATAGCAAATTCAGGGTGAAGATCTTCTCTGGAGAATATAAGGACTAGTGGGGTCAAGGGATACATGGGTACACTATAGAACTATTTTATGTATTTGGTCAAATGGTAGATATTTGCAAAATGTCTGAAATATTTATGATAAAACAAAAAATAACAAAAAACTAAGCTACTAGGAGAGTACTGAATTCTTTATAGTGACCAAGCCTCAGACAAAATGAATGTATGAAGGAAAGTCAAATAATAACCAATGGACAGAAGTGAAGCAAGTCCCCAGAGTTACCCCTTGTTAACTCTAGGCATTATGAAGACAAAAACATGCATTGTAAGCCAAGCCTGCCATTCAAGAAAGGCACAGGCTGTGAGTAGTTTGGGAGAGGGCAGGATTTGATTCCTATTTCACGGTATTTTCAGAATAACTAGTCAAGTTATGATTTGGTGCTAAATATCAGATCACGAGTTCTGACTTTAGCTCTCTCACACAGCTCTTCTTGCCTGTAAAAGCCTTTCATATTAAACACACAACTGAGCACCCTACTAAAGTTTTTATTCTGGGTCAATGTCTACCTGACATTGATGGAATCATCCCGGGGTGAGGGATGTGGCAATATGCTATCCCGTTTAGGGGACAGTGCAGAGCATATAACATAGTATAATGGTACAGGAATGCCAGAGCAACTTTTCTGCCTTCTACTTACAAGGAGGCTTTCCAAAAGCTCATTTTGACGTGGCATCTGCGAACGGAGGAGTTCAGCTATAGGGTGGACCATTCAACACATCTGCCTTGTGGACCTAACTCTTCCCTTAGAATGAACTCTAGAGAATGCCATAGGGCATCTACGGGTTCAAGAGCAGCCCTTGACACGAGACCATCCGCTCTGATCATTATGACAGGAAATCCAAGTAATGGTTCAAATGCAAAAGGGGGCAGTATAAGGCCTAAGGCCTCCAGATGCTGGATACTCAGTCTAGGCCACAGAACTTCAGCAATATAATGACTATACTTACATTCTCCAGAGAGTTAATACATGTCAAGGCTTCCAATGCGTCATTTAGGATTTTATGTATATCACCCCCACCCCCATTTATTTTTTCTTTCTTTCTTTCTTTTTTTAATTTTTTTTTTTAATGTTTATTTTTGAGAGAGAGACAGACAGACAGAGCACAAGTTGGGGGTGGGGGGCACAGAGAGAGAAGGAGACAGAATCTGAAGCAGGCTCCAGGCTCTGAGCTGTCAGCACACAGCCTGACACGGGGCTCAAACTCACAAGCTGTGAGATCATGACCTGAGCTTAAGTCGGACGCCCAACTGACTGAGCCACCCAGACTTCCCCTGGGCAGGTCATCCCCCCCCATTTTTTTTTTTTTTTTTTTTTAAATTTTTTTTTTTCAACGCTTATTTATTTTTGGACAGAGAGAGACAGAGCATAAACGAGGGGCAGAGAGAGGGGACATGAATCGAACAGGCCTCCCAGGCTCCGAAAGCCATCAGCCCAGAGTCCGACGCGTCTCACAGACCGTGAGATCGTGACCTGGCTGAAGTCGGACGCTTAACCGACTGCGCCACCCAGGCGCCCCATCACCCCCCATTTTTAAGACCACTGAGATCATGTAAGTTTTATGAACATTTACCTCAAAACCTGTCTTAAGCAGTGTTTTCAAATTTGGGAGTACTAGTCAAGATTTATCCGTAATTTATCCCTACTATCTTGCTGTTTCTAGATTAGGAAAACTTTCCTGTCATTGGACAACTAGCTAACTATCACGAAAAGGAGGCAAAATTAACCGATTAGTGCTATGGCACTAACTTCAGCACTTTTATTTCAGTTCATTGGTTAATCATTCAGATGCAATCAAAATTCACAAATAATCAAAATGTAGCCTAGTGACAGGTACCTTTAACATCCTAGCTCTAGATGAGTGGGTCCCAAACTTTATCATGGATTAGAATCACCCGAAGGACTTGCTAAGTGCCCCGTGTCCCTGGAGTTGCTGTCAGCAGGTGTGGGTGGGGCCTGGTAGTCTGCATTTCTACTAAGTTTGCAGGTGATGAAGATGCTCTCCTGGGACCACTCTGAGAACCACTGATCTAGATTGGAGACCTTAGGGAAGGTACTTTTCCTATCTAGACCTCAGTTTACTCACTGTACAAAAGGAGTATCTGGAAGATTAAATGAAATGTTTATCAAGAACCTGGTGCCATTCCTACACTGTGTGCTCTGTAAATAGTAGCTGTTACTACAATGATTCACATTCAATTTTAGAACTTAAAACATGGAAGCTAATTTGCTTATACAAATATAGGCATATACCCTCTCTTTTACCTATATTCCTAAATTTCAGACAAGATATCAGTTCTACTTATAAAGGTAATGCTTTCAAAATGAGAAGAGACGCGGTTAGCCCAGAAGAAATTCGCATCAAGGAGCCTCTTGGCTCAAAGTAGCTAGTGTGTGAACCCTTGTTATAAAACTATTTGTTTGCTCAGAGCTTGCTGCGTCTGCATCTAGAGGGGAGAGTGGGTTGCTTAGAGGAACTTTCTCTTCATACTGAACAGCAGCAGGAAACTAGGGAATTCCTACAAGCAAAAATATGATTTAAATCATGAAGACTTCTGAAACCATCTTGAACATCAGAAGGAAAGTCTCAAATTTACAGCCCTCTTTTCCTTCCCATTGAAAACTGTGCTGAAGGGGAAGAGAGGGAAGGAAAAACTGACTTTGGTTTTGAAGCAGCATTTCCCTTTCTAGGTTGCCCTCTCTTTGGGAGGGCCCAGATTCCAAATCAAGTAAAAAGTAGGGGAGAAAAAGGGCGGATTCAGGGGCGGAGGTCAGCAGAAAGGGGGATATCCTCGACTTCCTCCCTACCTCCAGGGGGCCAAGCTTCTCTGTTTTCACTTGTGTGTCCTGTAAGCAGTTCTCTTCCGCCTCCAGGAGGGGGCTGAAGGAGGCTAGCACTCCCCCCGCCCCTCACGCAGACAGCCGCAACACAGCAACAGCATCATGTGACAGGTGGAGCCCGCCAGGCACACTGCTGAATCCCACAGCTTCTGTATTTCCTGCAGTGGAGGAACCTACAAGTGTGAAATTTCCACGCTAGGAAGTTCGCATAGAGAGAAATTTCTGGTTTGGCACCAGAGCTTTGTAAAGTTTTCATTTCTGATTTGGGACAAATAAGCCCCATTTTCTGGCAGGTTATCAACTTCATACGTCATGATGATGAAAATATAAACAAGAGAAGCTATTTTCTATTAAGTGTTTATTATGTGCCACTTTTCTAATCTTTTTATATGCATGAACCTGTTTAATCATTACGACAACGTTTTTAGGGAAATGGTATCATCATCCCCATTTTATAGATGAGGAAACCGAGAAAGAGAAAGGTCAATAAATTGCCAAAGTGGTGCTATCAAGTGGTGGGATCCAGACAGCCCAAGATCTTAATTTTTCCAAAAGTCATAAAGTTTTGTGGGAGAAATGAAGACTTTTGAGGCAGGGGGCCCAAAGTGATTCTGCTTCCAGATCTTTTGTGGCCTTAGCATGTATTTTAATCTCTCAGAATTTGGGGTACCTGTAAAATGGATTGATATGAGGATTAAGTTGTCTAAATTCTTCATAAAGTGTTACAAAAAAACCCAGCTTTTTTTGTTTCATGGCACATTAGCAAGTTTCTAGATAGGAAGGCCTCAGAAAATCACATGGAGGGCAGAATCCCTCAGGACTCATGGCCCAGAGGGAAGATGAACAGAAGGAAGAGCTCACTCCTGACACTGACAAAATGTTGCAGGAAATACTGGCTCCCTTTCCCAAACAGAAGCATCTAATACACTCATTTCGTTATTTATAATCATGGCTACTTAGAGCTTGACCACATACTCCTCTACATCAAAATAATATAGCACTTCAAAGTAAGATGGAATTTCAATCCCCACTCCCCACCCCTCATGCCTCAAGGCCGGCGCTGGGAGAACTTCCTTTAGGCTGAGAGTGAGAGTTCAGTCACTCTGTCAGGAACACTATAAGGATGCTTCCGAGTCGTTAGTGTTTTCCAAAACTAATCTGATAGATCCACCACTTATCTACCCACCCACCCAATGTTTACTAGGCGCCTACAATATTCAGCCACTGCATTAAGATGCTGGAGATACAGGCTGGCCTCCTTTGACCATCTTAGTCTCAGGTCTACCACTACGAACACGAGGCATTTGAGGACTATAAGATGATGATGATGATGATGATGACGACGACGACCACCACCCATCTTTCATTTCCCTCCAGGGCAAATTCCCCAAGCCCTCTCTGTTATGGTCTCCAAAACTAGCTTCTCTGGGGATATTGATTTTATAGAACTATACTGTATTTGAAGATTAGGAGGAACTCACTTCTTGAAAATATTACACTTTCCTATTAAGAGATGGCTCTGCATTGATTCAGCTCTTCTTTAAGATATACTGATTTTTAATAAGCCAGATCTAGATTACCAGGTCACAATCTCATGGGTTCTTTTTTTTTTTTTTTAACAGAGCATATAAGAAACAGACAATAATAACAATGAAATAGAAAAGAAACCAAATGAAATCTGGAAAAGCAGAAATTTCCCCTATTCCCAGTCTCCTCCTCTAGGGGTCTCCATTCCATATCCTATTCAGTGGATCAATCAAAATGTAAAGGACACTTACTCAAGGCTGTCTGGATATCCTTTTCTCCATTTTTCACTTCTGTCAAAAATCCTTTCAAAAATTTGAGACCTCTAAAACAAAAGAGAGGAAGAAATATTATTTTCAACGTCCACTATGTTGAATGAGTATAAAGAAATGGCAGATACCAGCTTCTTCAATATCTTGGACACAGCAACAGAGGTCAAGTTACATAGCAGTTCTTTCTTCCCTGTCATTTCCCTTTAGTTTGTTCTAGACCCTTCTCATCTGACATACGTAAACAGTGGTTTCCAAAATGTAGTCCCAGGACCAGTGGCTTCAGTACCGCCTAGGAACTTGTTGCAAATGCTAGTTCTGGTCCCCCATTTCTAGGCTTAATGAGTCAGAAAGTCTGAGTTTGGACTGGAGCAATCCGCATTTTGAAGAAAGCCCTCCAGGTGACTTGGATGCTGCCAAAGTTTGTGGCCCACTGACTTAAAGAGAACCAATCAAGTCTATCACCCTTTAAGATTCCTATCTTACATATACTGTTAATATTAACAATGTTTATCATCATCAGAAGGGAAGGACAAAAAAGAGCTGGTGTTCTCTTCATCAGGCCTTCTAGAGAAGGCTACTGGGTTAGATCCCCCACTCAGAAGCAGTCTTTGCAGGGCACTTTTTTTGCTGGTAGCATCTCAACTGAGCTGGATTTCAACTGCTGCCCCATCCCAGCTGCCTCACCTCTTCAGCCACAACAGGGCTTCTGTAGCTGAGTTCCTAACCTGGGCTACGTCTGCCTCCACTTCATGCAGCACTATCTTCTGGAGGGTGGTGAACTCTTCCTTGTTGGTTATATACTTCTGATTTACTTTCTGCAGGAAAATCAGGGAAACAATCTAAGTTAAAAATGCTAAAGCTATCAAGTAAATCAGTATAACATGGAGATGCATAAACTTGTCAAGCAGGCCTCTAAGAAATCAAAACAAATTAAGCCTCTATTACCTTTTTCCTTATGTTCTCAAGGTAATATGTTTTAGTTGAGAATTCTGTTTCTTTTATTAAAAAAAAATTTTTTTTATTTGAGAGAGAGAAAAAGTGAGAGCAGGGGAGAGGGGTAGAGGGAGAGAGAGAAAGAATCCTTTTTAAAAAATATATTTATTTATTTTGAGAGAGAGAGACAGACAACAAACAGGAGACGGGCAGAGAGAGAGGGAGACAGAGAACCTCGAGCAGGTTCCACTGTCAGTGCAGAGTCTAATGTGGGGTCTAACCCACGAACTGTGAGATCATGACCTGAGCCAAAACCAAGAGTAGGACGCTTAACCGACTGAGCACCCAGGCACCCGGAGAGAGAGAGAGTAAAATTAAGCAGGCTCCATGCCCAGTGCAGAGCCTGATGCGGGGCTTGATCCCATGACCTAAATTGAAATCAAGAGTCATATGCTCAACCCACTGAGCCACCCAGGCACTCCTTTGTTTGAGAATTCTCATGAGGCTTAAGCTAGAATTAAATAGTCTCAAGGTTTTAAAAATACTGTTTCTAAAGTATTTTTTTTTCTGCCTCAGAACCTTTCTCACAGCTGGCCTGTACTTTTCATCTTGAGTATAAGGTCAACAATCATGTGTTTCTGAAGGAGATTTCATGCACTACTCCCTCCAAATATATGATATGGTCTCTGTAGAGACAAGCTTGTACACTCACCTTAATATTTCCAACAAGATCCATTTTAACAGGAGCAAACACTGTAGGGCCAAGTTTGTCTAGAAGAAAAGATTGAAAACATCTTTAAAAAAGCAACGATTTCAAGTGGAAAGTATTTTTTACAGTGACAAAATTTAGCATGTTTTTCCCCCCCCAGTTTTTTTTTTTTTTGCTTTTAAATCATTTTCCAAACGTAAGTTTTAAAGGCTTCTAGGATACTATCATCACTTTTTTCCATTACACACCATTCCGGGGTAACTATAATAAGGTCCTAAGTAAGTGTCAAGTGAGGATAATCTTATACGTTCACAGTGCATATTGTAATCTTTACGGCTGCATTGTCCAATATGGCAGCCACTAAATATGTGGCCACCTATCACTTGCAATGTAGCTATTCCAACTTGAAATGTACTAGAAGTATAACATACTAGATTTCAAAGACTCAGTATCAAAAAAAGAAGGCAAAACATCTCATTAGCCATTTCTTTATATTGATTACAAGTTAATATTTTGGATATACTAAATTATATAAAATATATTAAAATTAGTTTAAAAAATTAGTTCACTTGTTTTGTTTTACTATTTTCATGTGTTTGCCAGAAAACTTAAAATCATATATGTGGTTTGAATATTTCTGTGGGACAGGAGCAACTAAAAAAATAACGAAGGGTAGAGGTAAAAAGCCAGAAGAGAAAAAATAATGGAATTCTAAAAAGCACCTGATTGATCCAAGAAAAAAAAAAAGAAGGAAAGAAAGGAAGAAAGAAAAAGGCAAGAGGCAGGGACAAAGATAGGTAGCTAAAAAGCTAAAATAGGAAATAAAACAGAATAATAAAACATTAATTGATTGGCTAGAATTTAAGAAGGGAACAAAAAGAAACAAGGAACAGATAGAACAAATAGAAAATAAACAGCAAGATGATAGAAATAGCAAGACAGTAGACTTAAATTCATCCAAACAATGTAATTCACTATTATTAACAAAAGTACAGGAAAAAAAGATACAACTTCAATAAACACTGAAGATGTATTCTATAAAATTAACTCACTCATGATTATAAAATATTATAAAATACACAAAAGTCAACTGTATCTGTATGCTGTCAATCAACAACTGGAAGATGAAATACTTTTTACAATGGCATCAAAAATCATAAAATTCTAAAATTTATTCTTAACAAAAATGTATAAGGCACCTACACTAAAAACTATACAAAACATTGTGAAAATAAAGACTTAAGTAAATGGAGAGAAATAGCATGCTTCCAGATTAGAAGACTCAAAGTTGTTTAAGAAGTAAATTTCCTCCTAATTGGTTTACAGATTCAATATGATCTTAATCAAAATCCTTTTCAATAGAAATTGAAAAGTTAAAATTTATATGGACATGCAAAGGACCTAGAATTGCCAAAACAATCTTGAAAAAGAATAATAAAATTGGAAGACTTACATTATCTGATTTCAAGCTTTAATATAAAGGCACAGTAATTAAGACAATATAAGTATTAGCATAAGAAAAAATAAACAGATCACTGGAACAGAAGACAGTACAGAAACAGACCCACACCTAAAAGGTTCACTGATTTTCAACAAAGTGGCCAAAATAATATAAAAGAGAAAATAATGTTTTTTCAAGAAATGGTTTTTGAACAGCCAGATATCACAAAGGGAAAAAAAAAAGACTCTCAACCCTTACCTCACACCATAGAAAAACTAAGTCCAAGATGTATAAATGTAAATATAAAATCAAAACTAAAAGGTATAAAAAAACTCAAGAGAATATCTTCATGACCTTGGATGTGAACAAAGATTTCTTTCTTTTTTTAAAAAAATTTTAATGTTTATTTATCTTTGAGAGAGAAAGAGAGAGAGAGCACGAGCAGGGAAGGAGCAGACAGAGAGGGAGACACAAAATCCGAAGCAGGCTCCAGGCTCTGAGCTGTCAGCACAGAGCCCAATGTGGGACTCAAACTCACAAACCGTGAGATCATGACCTGAACCAAAGTCAGACACTTTATCGACTGAGCCACCTAGGTGCCCCATAAACAAAGATTTCTGAAGACACCAAAAGCACTATAAAAAGAAAACAGATACATTGGATTTCATGAATGTTAGAAGCTGCTCTTTAAAGACCTTAAGAAAAGAAATAGGCAAGCCACAATCTGGGGGGAAACACTCATAACACATGTCTACAATGACATGTTTTTGAGAATATATAATGAATCCTTACAATTCAGTAGGAAGAACATTAGTCAACTTAAATTTTTTTTTTTAACGTTTACTTATTTTTGAGACAGAAAGAGACAGAGCGTGAGCAGGGGAGGGGCAGAGAGAAAGGGAGACCCAGAATCCAAAGCAAGCTCCAGGCTCTGAGCTTTCAGCACACAACCCGATGTGAGGCTGGAACTCACAGACCGTGAGTTCATAACCTGAGCCGAAGTCAGACACTTAACCGACTGAGCCACCCAGGAGCCCTGAACATTAACCAACTTTTAAAAATGGATTAAAGATTGGAAAAGACTTTACAACGAAGGAGACAGCAAAGGCCAATAAATTATATTAGAAAATGTTCAACATCATTAGTCAGCAGGGAAGTCAGGCCACACCAAGATGGACCACTTGGAACATGAAGATTATTTTGAGTGAAAAGCAATCAAAACCCAGCAGATTCAGGAAAAATTCTTTACCTTCCCCTTGATTGCCTAAATTTACATTGGAAAGGAAAGCCTGTTCCAGGAAGAGAGCAATTAGCAGATTCCTCTTTACTTAAGAAACTTATCTGCATAACAGCACAGCCTTGGTTTTCCAACCATCTCCTTTCACCTTCCTACTAATGATCTTCCTCTGTTTTGTATCCTGTCCCCAGACCCCTGCCCCTTTCCTTGGGTCAGGATGTCATATACGTCTCATGTTGTCTGTCTTTGAAATTTCATGTCTGTGTGGATTTTCTGTATGTATGGAATTACATTTGATTTTCTCCTGTTATTCTGTCTCACGTCAATCTGATTCTTGGGCCAGCTAGAAGAACGTTAAGGGCATAAACTTCTTCCTCCCCAACACAAATTAAAGCCACAAGGATACCTAAACACTCACAGGAATAGCCAGAACCAAAAACTCCAATACCACCAAGTGTTTGTGAAGATGTGAAGCAACCAGAATACTCCTACATTGCTGCTTGAAGTGTCTAATTGTGCAGTCACTTTTTATAAAGTTAACCAGATGAATCCAATGAATCAGCAATTCTACTCCTGGGTATTTACTCAAGATATGAAAAAATATGTTCACAGACACAATATTCAGAGTGATATAATTTATAATAGCTCCAAACAAGAAACTACGCAAATGTGCATCAATAGAAGAATAAATAAACAAATTGTGGTATGTTCATTTAATAGAATACAATTCAGCAATAAAAGGGAATGAACTACTGATACATGTAACAATAAGGATGAAAACATTATACTGAGAGAAAAAAACAGATCCAAAAGAGTAGATAATGATTCCCCTTACATGAGATTTTAGGAAAGATTAGCAAAACTGATCTATGGTGACAGAAATCAATAAAATGGTCGCCTTGGGGTGCTGAAGACATTCTAGTCTTGATAGGGATATGGATTACATAGGGGTGGGTGTGTTTGTCAAAAATCACTGAATCATAACACTTAAGTTCTATGTAAGTTACATCTCAAATTCAAAAAAGATACACAAAATTTAAAAATGTGAATTAAAAAAGATGCACAGCTAAATAGGTCATGAAGCAAATTTCAACATGTTAGTGATTCCTGGTTCTACTGACTCTATATAAAAAGTTGGGGCGCCTGGGTGGCGCAGTCGGTTAAGCGTCCGACTTCAGCCAGGTCACGATCTCGCGGTCCGTGAGTTCGAGCCCCGCGTCGGGCTCTGGGCTGATGGCTCAGAGCCTGGAGCCTGTTTCCGATTCTGTGTCTCCCTCTCTCTCTGCCCCTCCCCCGTTCATGTTCTGTCTCTCTCTGTCCCAAAAATAAATAAATGTTTAAAAAAAAAAAAAAAATTAAAAAAAAATAAATAAAATAAAAAGTAAATGTAATTTGGAGTTAAATTTATACATACAATTTTTAAGCCCTTGGAAAAAATGTTTTAACTGGTAAAATTTTTTTCATTATACCAATGGATTTGAAGGTCTGTTCCTCTACTACTTCCACTCTTGCCTGCTTTTAAGTATGATTTCTGGAATACAAAATTCCTATTTTTCCTTATACTACTTTGTGGTCAACGTTTAATCACAAGCAGGAATAAAACGGAAACGTGGAATAACGCTTAAGGTCACACAGTTTTAACGTACGTGGCTGGTGACATGCAGAAATAGCTAAGAAGGGTCACTTCATTGTACATACAGTTCAGGATACTTCTGCAAAACAACAGCAGTGAGACAGATTCCAGAGACTAATGAATTCAAGACAAACGCAGTAACCTTACCTAATACTGGAACCACAGCATAACATGATGCCAAGAATGCTTCTGTGGGAATGCCACTGTCTTCCAGAAGTTCAATGTCACTAAAGCTAATGATACAGAGTGATATAGAGGAGGAAAGATTGAAAATACAACATTAGCACTCTCTGCAATTCAGAGGTAGCCATGAAAACAGCTGCCCCTCTGTAGGGCAAGTCACTTGGCTTGATTTCAGTGATTGCTTTTCTATTATAAAATGGTGCAATAAAATCATTTTCCAAAGACAGTCTATGAAAGCAAGCTAAAATTTGTTCAGAGTATAGTCTCAATTCAATTCCTTCTCATCCGCTGCTTCAGACAGGTGAACAGAAAAGCACACACGTGGTATAGCATCTCCTCTATTCTGTGATAGTACGCCATCATCTGAAAGGAGCACCAGGATTGACTTCCAGAAGGGAAGCTGGTGTCCAACTGTCAGTGACTTTAGAAAGTACATGATACCTGGTATTCATGGTACTAAAGAAAGTCGGGATAACTTCTTGGCCTTCTTCCCAGTGGGATTCTGGAGAGCTACTTGAGGAGTCTGATCCAGGCTGTGTCAAGCTGCTGTCATGATTTCCCAGGTTGTCCTCTCCTTCTTCCTTCATGATCTCACCTTGGACTGTGAACAGGAGATACTTATTATTTATTATAAAATTTAACACACATTCAGTGAATATTTCTAAAACACGGAGTAATATACAGAAATAAAAATCAGTGAAATACTACACAGACACAGACACACACACACAACACACATGCACGAATTTGGGTTTAAATACATGTAGATTTGTAAACTTTTCACTCAACAGTTTATCATGAATATTTTCATTATCATTCAATACTTTTTAAAATACCATTCTAATGGCCATATAATATTGCATCAAGCTCACGTGGATGGCACGTGGTTTTTAAAATTTCAGTGTTTATAAATACTGTCGATCCTCACTATTAGTGTATTCTGGATTTGCAAATTTGTATTCTTGACAAAGTTTATCTGTGATCCTAAAACCAATGCTTGTGGCACTTTTGCAGTCATTTGTAGACATGTGTACAGTGGTGAAACATTTGAGTTGCCTGATATACACGTTCCCAGCTGAGGTCAACCAAGGTGACAAACTGCCTTCCTGCTTCAGTTCTCACACCATACGTGTGTGTTTATACAGGGTCACGCTTTGTGCGTTCTGTTATTGATTTTGTTGTTTGCAAGTGCCCCCAAGTGCAGTGCTGTCTCGTGCTCTGACGTGTAAGAAGGCTGTGACGGGCCTTATGGAGAAAATACATGTGTTAGGTGAGCTCCATTCAGGCACGAATGAAGCACTGCCATTATAGTACTGCTGACCATGGGTTCAATGTTAATGAATTAACAATACATATTCAGTAAGATGTCTTTAACCAGAAACACACATAAAACAAGGTTATACACATTGATCAGTCGACGACCAAAATGTGAATAGGGGTTTGCAGGAACCTAACTTTGTATTTCCCCTAAGAGCAATGGTTCAGTATCTACTAACTCAGTGTCTACAGTGACTTTATAACTACCATGAATAATGAAAATCACTGTAATGTCATAAAGAACATCCCCATCCACAGATATTTGTCCCTAAACTTGACTATCCCTGAAGACAAATTCCTAGAAGTAAAATTATTGGGTCAAATAAATTACAGTACTGTTTCCACAGAAATTCCCCTGTCTTTATTATTTACTCAAGGGATAAGACATCAGCACTGTGTGGATTGCTTGCCTCAGATTATTAGCTATGAAAACCCTCCTTCTTTGACCCCAGCTCATCTGGAAAAAAACAGGGTCTTTGTTATTTCCGGGGAGATGAGCAAGAAACTTATTTAAAATTTTATTTCCAAAATAATTATTAAACACTTACAACACAATTAAAAGCTCTAATACAGTTGTCTTGGACTGATCTGAAGTTGGTTTTAGTGGTTAGAGCCAAGGCAATTAGCAAATTTGAAAGGGCGGCATCACTACAAGCTCTGACCTGAAGTGTAGGACTCTGGCTTGAGGGACACAGAGAAGGCTGGGTGAAAACCTGCTGGTGGTTGGTGAACGGTGATATCCGCAGGCCTTACCAGAAACCAGGAGGACAGCAACCTGAACTGCCATAACTTTATACTCTGTTAGGTCTGACATCATAGTTTAAGTTCAAAGGATCTTGAGACTTAGAGCAGAGGGCCAGTGAAATCCTCATATTCTCTAAAAAGTCAGCACAGACAGCTGCTGCCCACTGCTGCTCGCTGCAGCCCACGAACATCACAGAACAGTGAACAGGTCAATTCTCCTCATTCTGCCTTCTCAACACTGGGTCAGATGGGCTGGCACAACGTTGTGGAGTGACCTATGTTATCCAGCTAATGTCTGCCTTAGGCACTCCTAGCACATTGTCTTGAGGCCAATGCCTCAAGTGTCACATCATGGATAAAGAATCAAACTCCCAAGATCCTACTGTTCAATGGTTTGCTTCAGACTTTACTTTCATTTTTACCTGTTATATTATCGTCTATATTTTCTTCACTTGATATGCTGCAATCTATCTCTGCAGGTTTCAAATATAAGCTCTTATTTTTCATTAGGATTTCTTCATCATCATTGATTTCCATATGTAAAGATCCATTTTCACAACTGTTTAACTCCATTTGCCTGAAATTTTTTATAAGGAAAAAAGGCAAAAAGTCCAATTATTTGGTCTTAAATAGACTGTACAGGTAGATCTTGAAAGAGAGGAAGGGTTCACAAACACCAACTACTTTTAACAGTGATTAGAAACCACTATTGTTGGGGCGCCCGGTGGCTCAGTCGGTTAAGCATCCGACTTCGGCTCAGGTAATGATCTCGAGGTCCGTGAGTTCGAGCCCCGCGTCAGGCTCTGCGCTGACAGCTCAGAGCCTGGAAACTGTTTCAGACTCTGTGTCTCCCTCTCTCTCTGACCCTCCCCCGTTCATGCTGTCTCTCCCTGTCTCAAAAATAAAATAAACGTTAAAAAAAAAAAAAAAAAAAAAAAAAAAAAAAAGAAACCACTATTGTTAAATCGGCCAAATGTCTCAGCCTCCTACCTCCAAGGCAGGTATGTGCCTGTGACGGAAGCAGGCCTGTCTGCCAACTGGAGGTCTGAAATCAAAGAGCCGTTCCTGGCTTTCCATGGACCCTCAGTGGATTCAAACTTCCTGCTCCCCACCAGCAACAGGAAACAGTCATTGACAGCTCTTTGGTTTTCAATCAGTTTTCTACACGGACACATTAACAGTTTTCTAGCTTTTCTCAGCTTCTCCCTGGGAAGTTTTTTCTCTCTCTTCAGCTCTCAGAATCACTGGCCACTCCTACCTGTTCGCCTACGAGTTAACTGTCCAGAAGCTACATGCTGTGGTCAGGGGAGAATACTCCCTAAAAAGTTACGTGTGACAGAAAAGAAGCAGGAGAACACAGGATACATCCTGAGAATAGGCTGCTCTTTGGGGTGACAGGAAAAGTGTTTAACAGGCAAGTAGAAGAGCTGATTTTGTTAAAGGGACAACCATGATACCTTATCGTTAAGTGATTATATCTAGCCAAATAAGAACAAAAATATTTCCTTCTAATAAAAACAAAGACAAAGGGGCTAAGCTATTTGACTCCAGGAAAAGTATTTATTTTTTAAAGAAATGCCATATTTCAACTTAGCAATTAAAAATGTAGGAGTATATTAAGGAAATGTCAGACACAAAAAATCTACAAAGATGTTCCCAGTAGAAATATCTAGAACAAGAAAAAAATGGTAACCAAATTGGAACAATCCTTGTACTAAAGCAAACAATAGTATACAAAGAGATGAAATGTTAAGTAATAATTTGAAAGGACAAATATACGGAGTAAGTCAAAATACAGGAATGTTTATATAAAATAATAACTGAATAAAGACCCCAAATAATAAGAACACAACTATGAAAATGTGTACTTTTTTTCTAAAATCAAAGGATCATTTAGAGGAATAGTTTAGATTTTGATATTAAGTTTTTTATTCAACTTGTAAAGCTACCTAAGCTTTTTATTTTCAAATAACATAAAGTCGTACTGTCTTTTCTGGATAAAAGCACACTGAAGTCAATGCCTGGCTCCTCCACGAGAGGCGGTTCCAACCCTCGGCACACTAGAGTGATGAAAAGTTACTACATGTGGAGGGCAGATTCATCCACAGATGAGGGAGAATGCAGACATCTCCCTGGGCAGTCAGAGCTGAGTGTAAGATCTGCATGGCTTCAAGCTCACCCCAAAGTGGAAGATGAGATACTGTTTCCTTCTGGCACCACTTCAAATCATGATCAGCATATTTTTATTTCTTTTAAACCAACAATAAAAAATTACTTTTTTATTTTTAGAAAGAAGAAAAAACCAAAAGAGTTACTGTACCTTTCCAATGAATTATGAATCGGTATAATAGGATGTTTCATCTTTAAAAGAAGCAAAAAAATGAAAGCTTCGTGTTAAATTTCCAACAGAGCATATTCAGAGTCTTATCACATATAAAAGTGGTAAATATGACCGTAACATAACTGCTCCACTCAAAGGAATAATCTTAGATTGTTCCCCAAAGGGAGTCATTGATCTCAACCAGTCCTCTGTATTTTTTCAAACAAGTGTACCCAAATTTCTAAGGAAAAGGAAGATGGGTCTTTTGAAGGATCTAATTACCATAGCCAAACTTTTGGTGGTTGGATTTCTTGTAATTAAGATTCTGATGCAGCACCGTTTCAAATACTAGAAGTATAAACAGTATGGAGGCTCCTACCCTTAAGGTAATTTCAATACAGAGTAACGCTAAAATAGGGGCATGCATAGAGGAGAAGCTCCTAGACCAACTTACGGATTCAGGAAAGGAGAGATTCAATCTTGAAGGATGAGGAAGTACTAACCAGGGAAAGGTAAGTGAGAAAGAACAGCATTCTTGGCGCTGGGAAATGGTGCAAAGATGTCACGGGGGGGATATATGTTGTTAGTATGTTCAGCCAGGTAATGACAAAGAGGCTGGTGGTGTGAGAAGGGGTTAAGAAGTTCTGACTTTAACCTTTGGCGATGAGGAAGGCATGGCGTGGCTTAGGGTGAAGTGGTCCAGTTTATACTGCATGAATGCAAATACCATCGGCTGCCTGGAAGGTCAGGGTGAAAGCAACTAGTTAGAAGGCAACCACCAATCTTGGCAAGATTCACTGGATAAGGAGGCTGATAAGAGGCTAGCTACATCAGAGGTTTAGGTGGTAAAACTGCCAAAACAAATGGACATGGGGGACTGAGGACCGAAAAATGTAAGTGGACATAAAGGGAAGTCTACTAAAAAAGTGTCTTTCTCAGTCACTAAAGGGGGATGGATAACATTGTTCACTATATCATTTTTAACTTTTCCTCATGCCCTCCTGCGGCCAACTGAGCTGGCCTTTACCTTGTTGGACTTCAGCATGGCCAGCTGCGGTGAACCTGGCGGAGTGCGATAGAGCAGTTCAGAGGTGAAGGCTGCATTTGCGATCTGCATGCATTCTTCCAAAGTCTTCAGAAAAGTATTGCAGGTTGATTTCAGCAAAGTTCCCACATCAATTCCCTCCTATGAAACAACGAGAGTGGAAGACTCCTTTACCTTGCCAAAAAAGAAAGAGCCCAATTGTGGAATGTCCTTAGAGGTTTTTATCCACAGTGTAGTAATAATGTACCCACCTATTTTGCTGGACAAATATGTACATCAATTACAAAAGAAAAATAGAGAGTGTGTCCACTTTATCTACTAACCATAGACAAGCCTTATCCTCAATCTGACCCTTCAACACTCACACCCCCTACTCCAGATGAAGGCAACAAATTTCTTCAGTTCCACAGTATTAGATGCTGGAACTGTGCCAGGTGCTGGGCACAGAGCCCTCAGGTCTTATGTAAGGGGGTGGCAGGCATGAAACAGAATCACACAGACTAAAGAACTGTGGAATCAATGGAGAAATGTCTCCCCATTGAGTAAAAATGAGGTTCTAGAAGAGAAGCATTAGAAACCATAAATTGTTTACTTTCAAATGAGGTTTTTGTTTTTGTTTTTTCAATATATGAAATTTATTGTCAAATTGGTTTCCATATAACACCCAGTGCTCATCCCAAAAGGTGCCCTCCTCAATAACCATCACCCACCCCCCCTCCCTCCCACCCCCCATCAACCCTCAGTCAAATGAGGTTTTTGGATTTCAGTACAGATGAGTTTGAGAAGTTTTAGCAACTGTAATTCTTTTGAACATCATTTTTCTTCCAGTTATTTTACTTGCTCAGGGTGTTTTTCCTGAATATTGGTATTAGTAAGTTGTTCAGGAAATTGAGGTCATACCCCAACTAGAGAGTACAGTAGACACATCTAGTGGTATAAAAGAAACTAGATTGGGCCCAAGATGGAGTCGCTCATGCTAAGCCTCACGTTAGCGACTCAAAATCTCCAAGTTTCTATGCTTGGTTATCCTAGACAAGGCAGGCCTAGGGTCAAGCGATCAGCACAAGGTACCTGACCCAGCTCCAAGATTTCCCTTTGCTCTACATGAGGAAAGTAACCTTGCTTTAACTAATCAGCAAATGTCCAGTAGAACTTCCTTGTTCCTGCTCACTTTGGTCTATAAAAATCTCTAGCCCTGTACAGCTTTTCAGAGCTCCTTTCTATCTGCTAGATGGGATGCTGCCCAATTCATGAGCTGCTAAATAAAGTCAGTAAGATTTTTAAAATTTACTCAGTTGAATTTTTCTCTTTTAAGAGTAGCCTCTGTATTTTCTTCAATTTTGTATTTCTAACAAGCTAGCAGGTAATTTTACTGGTTGTGGACCACTATGATTCTGACACTGATTATGAATGCATGGGTTTTCTCATACCACCAAGCAAACCCCTGACAGCAGCTGGGTGTCTACAATTCAACTAAATTGTGACGCTATCTACCTGAAGATCAGTGTCAGATTTCACAGGGTAAGGGCTCAGTCCGGCAGGGCTGCTCCACAACCCCCACTTCAGACACCAATGTCAAGTCCAGCTTGTCCCCTGTGCTTCTGACTGACCAGCTACAGACTGGAGGTTCCAACCCCCTCCTTTCAGTTGACTAATTTGCTAGAGCTGCTTACAGATCTCAGAGAAACATCTTACTCACTAGATTGCCAGTTTATTAGAAAAGGATACAACGCAGACCTGGGAACAGGCTCAGAACTTCCACGCTCTCTGATCACTTTCACTGAACCTTCATGTGTTCACCAACTCAGGGGCTCTCTGGACCCTGTTCTTGGGGTTATGGAAACTTCATTTCATAGAATATTGATGAAATCATTGGCCACTTGGGATTAAACTCAATCTTCAGCCCCTCCTCCTTCCCAGGAGATGAGGGTGGGGGTGGGTGAGTGGGTCTGAATGTTCTAACCCTCTAATCACAGGGTTGGGTCCTAGGTCAACCAGGCCTCTGGCTTAGGCACTTTAAGAGAAGTCTCCTCAACACAACAAAAGACAACTTAATCATTCTCATCACAGGAAATTTCAAGGGTTTTAGGATCTCTGCCAAATACATACTTCTTATGAAGACCAAATATATATTTTTTATTATAAATCACAGTATCACAACCATAGTTTCATGAGCAAGTTCCCAAGGCACCCTTGAATTAAAAATTGTTATGTTCACATTTTCCCTTCCCATTAGATCAGGAGGGCTTCCCCACCTTGGCGCGACTGACATGAGGGGCTGGCTCATTTTTGTAGTGGGGGAAGAAGGGGGAGAGCTCTCCTGCTCACGGCAGGATGTTAAGCAGCACCCTAGCCTCTATACGGTGGATGCCAATAGCACTCTTTCAGTTGTGACAACCAAAAATGTCTCCCGCGGGGCAAAATTGCTCTGGGCTGAGAATCACTGCTCTGACCTATAAACACCCCAAGAGCAGGACTGAAATGTTCTTTTGGTATCCCTCTCCTCCCCTCCCCCAGCACAGCGTCTGGTACACAACAGGCAGTTGCTGAATGGATAGGAGAACCCAAAAGGAAGTGAATGAAAATGAGTTAAATCACCCTTCTTTAGAAACACTGAAAGCACACATACCACTAGTAACATAATATTCTTCTACTAAAACCATTAATTAGAATCCGCAGGTTCTTCATTTTGTAGGCACTACTGTTTAGATTATAATTACTCTGAGAGTAGAACAGAGACCCTCTGGGGGTAGTGTGAGCCATTCAATACCCAACACCAGACAGGTCTTCTAATATATTTTTTAGGATGAATGAATGACAGCTTTATTAATAAACATTAAAAATCACAATCCTTACTGACAATGGATGGAAAAGAAAGCTGTGTCTCCATCTCTGAAAGCACTAGTCTGTACTAAAGCAACAATTACTATTTCACCAATAAAATCCTGTTACAGGGGTGCCTGGCTAGCTTAGTCAGTAGAGCATGCAACTCTTGATCTCCGGGTCGTGAGTTCAAGCCCCATGTTGTGTATAGAGCTTATGTAAAATAAAATAATAAAATAAAATAAAAATAAAATAAATAAAATAAAATAAAATAAAATCTTGTTAGTCTTATCAAAGGTGACAGATACACATTACTGAAAAACATGATGCTGGCACGTTAGTTGCCACACCTACAGAAGTAGCTGTGCTAGACAGGTAAGGCTGTATTTTAAAAAGTGATGCAAATGGGCAGAAGCATATTTTAGTACACCAGCAGCAATGTTAAAGGTTCCAAAGGGTATCAATTAATCCTGAATTCATTCTGTGAAGGAAAACTATATGCCTCCATAAGCTGAAATGCATTTTTTGGTATCCCAAAAATGCACATTTCTTCTCTCTTGAATTTTGTTACTTTTTCCTCCAAAAAAATAGTAAATTCCAAAACAGTCAGGGATTGTGTGAGAGTAAGCATTACCTGTAAGCAACATCTGGCACTATTTTTCATGTGGCTAAGACAAGTAATATTTTACCTCAGAATTGGACACACCAATTGCGGTCACTTCTTTTGTTTTATCTACTTGCTGAACGAGGAGGTCACAGTAGAGTCTTAGTTCCGACATTTTGGTTTTCAAGTTTTCAGTGTTTTCAGCAAACTCTAAATAATAAAATGATAATAATGTAATTATCAGGATAAATAAACAATTTACTAGTTAGCATACCATGGAGTGGAATATATAACCTATATCTAAAGTCAGATGTTTATGGTATGGGTTATAGATAAGATGTGAGTGAAGATATGAGGGCAAGAAAAACAGAATAAAGAGATTTCTGGTCTTTTGTAATCTATATTATTTTTGGGGCCAAGGTACTGAATGATCACCAGTACAGGAAGAAGGACACAGCATACTTTTTATCCCTTAATGTCAGAACTGGGAGCAAAGAGTCAATGGTTCAGAATTTTGGTATTTGCTACAGTTTTCCCTATCTGTAAAATGGGGTCATAGCTATCTACCTGCTAACCGTGCTCAAAACTGGGAAACTGTTCTGTAACGTGCAATTACCACTAATGAGATGGCTTGTTAATTCACAGAACTGGTTCAGCATGCCACCTGTCAAAGCTAATGACACCCTCTGTGCACCTGCTGAGACCTCATTAGCACAGTGCTCCAGCTGCTCCCTCACTGAGGGCTCAGGTAGTCATTATCACTTCTGTTTTTTGTCCCATGAAAAAGCTGCATGTTACAACCCGATCTGAGTCAAAGCTGACAGTGTCTAGAATTTGCTCCTGAGTTAGCATTAAAAAACAACCAAGGAAGAGGCCATTTTACTGTGTCTACTTGAAGAGTCAAGCATATCTGCCACACCTGTCATGAGAAAGAGGCCTCATCTCCCGCCTATCTCTCTAGGTGCATATATATGGGTGGGGGGCTGGGAAGGTGGTGGTTAGGGCTGAGGCACTCTTCCCATAGTCCACATAGAAAGCTGTGCCATGGTTCTCAGGAGACAACGATGTCAAGTTAATGAGCATTAAGCAGCAGCAACCCGGCAATGAGTATCCATCCCACCCCAGGGAAAGGGAGGGGAAAGTGGGGTCCTACTGCAGAAAGTGCCCTGATCCAAGGCTCAGCTATTCTTTACCAAAGGTCAACTCTGTGCCAGACTGGGTCCTAGACAGTTTAGTATAATGATGAATCCTACGGCAATCCTTCTAATGTAGACTTTTACATCTTTTTAAAATAAGAGGAAGCTGAGAGTCAGAGAGATTAAGTGACCTATGCCAAGGCCGAAGGCCAGTACCTAAAAAGCCATGATTTGAATCCAGCTGTATCTGGCTCCAACGCCTGTACTCTTTCTACTATGAGATGCCAAGAGAGAGAAGTTAGATACAGACTGTGGTTTAAATTCCAGATGTATATGGCCTTTGCAGGATATAAAAAGCTGGCTAGGTGGTCAGAGGCAAGATACAAATATGGGAACCCAGAGATGCCAGTGGGTGATTCCCAAGCTTCCCAGACCACAGAACAATCGATACTTGCCTTTTTCCTTCTGGGTCCTACTGTCTGTTAGGCAAGCCTTGGCTGACCCCAGGGCTACCAGCCACCGCTGTCTCTCAGCCACGCTTCTGGCCTTCAGGTAGAAATACTGCTCCCCAGGGATTATCAGGTCCATGCGCGTGTTATCTACAGAATGAACTGACAGCAGGCAGAGGGAGGTCAGAAGCTTAGAAGAGCTAGGGTGCCTGGGTGGCTCAGTCTGTTAGGCGTCTGACTTTGGCTCAGGTCATGATCTGACCCCACGTCGGGCTCTGTGCTGACAGCTCAGAGTCTACAGCCTGCTTTGGATTCTGTGTTCCTCTCTGGCTCTGTCCCTACCCCGCTCGTGCTCTGCCTCTCTCTCTCAAGGATAAACAAACATGAAAAACAAATTGAAGATAAAAGAAACTTAGAAGAGCTCTATCTGGTGCCCTACCCTACCCAAATTCCTGAGCTCAACTGGTGCCAGTCATTAAAGGCTTTGTCCAAGGGGGGATGCCAGCCCTTACCATCTCCCCTGTTTATTTATCTCTTTCTAGGTGCCTCTGCTGATGAAAAGGAAAAACCTTGGCTGGCTCCAAGGTATCACCAAGACTAAAAAAGAAGTACTCAATTCTCCTTATCATAATAGAGATAGAATCTCTCTTTTGGCTTGTGTGTATACAGTATGCTGCTCTGAGGCCAGAAAGGCTTGCATGCCCGTAAGTAAGGGTGTGCCTCTGTACCTTCTTGGGTTTATTGGAAAGCAATCAAGAACACACTATTCTTCCTTTTCTACTGTCCTTCACAAGTTAGATCAAAAGTGTGAGAATTGCCTCGGAGACCTTCAGGAGAAGAAATAAGCAAACCACACTCTCCTTCACCCCCTACCTCACCCCAAAATATCCTTCTAATCTGTTTTGAAGCCTCATCTTCTCAGCATGTCTCAAGATGTCTCCAAACCAAGAAGTAAAGGCTATTTGCAGGTCTTTATGTGTTTGCTTGTTTTAAGTAATGTGTGTTTTAAGTAAGTAATGTGTGTTTTAAGTAAGGTGTGTGTGTGTGTGTGTGTGTGTGTGTGTCCTGATTTACACACAGAAGTGTTTGATGCTGCAGTAAAAAGACTTGCATAAACTTTGCAAAGAGTCCCTGGCTTCAGGTGAGCAAGTGAATCAAGAATGAGCACTAGATGTGTGGTGAAAGCGCGTTGCTCTCATTTATTTTGATACATTTTAAACAACCTCCCTGTAAAAATTGTCTGCAGTTTTAGGTCTTATTTGTAGGGCTTTCTTTTGGGACATAACACTATGTATCTCTGTACTACAGGAATAGCAGAGAAAGGCACGCAGAGGCCAGTCCTTTTTTTATTTTGTGGGGGAGACAGAAAGAAAAAGAAAACTTAGAAATGCCTTGGTTTCTCACCTTGAATTTCACAGACCGCCATCTGGATGCTCCCTTTGCAACCTTTCCAGGCATCTTCAGGAGAATCATAATAGGATAATATCCCCCCACAGAGAAGGAACCATCGAGGCTGCCAACCTGAAAACAGAAGCAAGAGCAGGTCTCAATTATGGCCTACATGTGAGGTGCCTCTCAGGACACAGGAGCGGGACCTGATAAAGAAAGCTGGGTCCCAGCTCCGAGGAGCTTAAATTCCAGGGGAAATTCTAAGGGAAAGAAGTAGGTTAGAAAATACCAGTATGCGTGATCTCATTTTTAAAATTAGAAACAAACACCCATAGGGGCATATATTTTTAGTCACATAATGTATAGAAGTCTGCAAGGGCCAGGAATATAGTGATGATTCTGATGATAGTTAATAGGATTACCGATGATTTTTATTCCTTTTTCCATTAATGTAGTACTATTAATCTTTGATTTTTAATTTTCTTTTAATATTTATTTTTGAAAGAGAGAGAGAGAGAGAGAGAGAGACAGAGTGGGAGTGGGGGAGGGCAGAGAGAGAGGGAGACACAGAATCCGAAGCAGGCTCCAGGCTCTGAGGTGTCAGCACAGAGCCTGATATGGGGCTCGAACCCACGAACTGTGAGATCATGACCTGAGCCGAAGTCAAAGTCAGACACTCAACCGACTGAACCAACCAGGTGCCCCTGATTTTTAATTTTTTTTAAGGTAAAAGATTATTGTTTCCTGAACATTTTCTTTTTATTTATTTGTTTGTTTTAGTGTTTATTTTTGAGAGAGATATAGGCAGAGCACAAGCAGGCTTCAGGCTCTGAGCTGTTAGCACACAGCCCAATGCGGGGGCTTGAATCCATGGACCACGAGATCATGACCTGAGCCGAAGTCGGATGCCTAACCCACTGAACACCCAGGTGCCCCATGAATGTTATCGTTTTCATATACTTGCTCTTCTCTCCTTTGGTTAAGAACAATTATCCTGAACTTAGAAATAAGGCAAAAGATTACATTGCTCTGTAATCACGACTTCAACCACCTCCATTTTGAGCTCAGTCAGTCTGTACTTTCTGATTAAGTTCTTTCCAGCTTATCTCTCTTAACTCAGGCAAAAGACCCCACAGGCAAAGCCTCCAGTGATGGGAACTGAAACTACTCCCTCAAGCAATTAACTACTGCCTTGACTCCAGCAAGACCCTGCACGATTGACCCCAAGATAGTGACTGACCTGACCTTTACTGCCCAGCACTGGTACCCACCGACCCTTCCCCCACATTTTCCTTACATAATAAACCCACAAGTATTTTCAGCACAATGGAAACAGTCTTTGAGATATCAGTCCACTGTCTTGCCGGTGTGGGCCTCACTGAAATAAATTCCTTTCTTGTGTCACCACTACTCATCTCTCTGTCTTTGGATTTTGTCAGCAGGGAATGGCAGATCCTGGTCTGTTGGGGCCCCCAGGGCCAGGTGCTCTTATACCCGTGTCCTGCAGCCCTTTCAACGTCATAGAGAGTTACAGAGTGCAAATAAGCCTGTGTGGGGGCGTATGAGCCCTAGGAGAAGGTAACTTTGACTTATTACTTAGCATTGATCCACTGTAATGAAATAATCTTAAAACATTCAAGGGCTTAACAACTTTTACTTTGGAGAATTTCAGGGGACAACCAAATATATTTGGTTGAAATATACATCTTATCTAGTCCTCTTACAAATTTATATTCTAGGCAACCAAAATTATTTGCTATCTTCCTGCTTCTGGGCTTTTGCCTGAGTTGGATCTTTTTTCTAAAATGTCATCTCTGACTATTTCTGCATAAGCCTTGTCAGTCTCCTCAGTCAGATATACACATATTTTTTTCTCTGAAATGTTATAGCCCTTTAGGGATACATTTTTCTCATGACACTCTTCTGGGGCTGAGGCAGACAGAGAGAAGGCCAGGAAAAGCTTTGAGCAGAGCCCTAGGGGCTGCTTAGGTACAGATGTCCGATGACTGATTCACACAAACCAAGAGGCCTGAGACCCAAGAAGAGCTGTGGTTCCATCCAGGTCAGAAAGCAGGAAAAGACCAATGTTGCAGCTCAGGCAGGAGGAATTTCCTCTTTCTTGGCCTTTTTACTCTATTTAGGTCATTGATTGATCAGATGAGACCCACTCATATTGGGGAAGGCAATATACTCAGTCCACCAATTCAAACGTCAATCTCGTCTAGAAACACGCTCACAGACACACCCAGAAAGATGTTTAGCCACATGGCCAGGCACCTCATGGCCCAGGCACACTGACACATAAAATTAGTCATCACATCATATGTTAACTAACTTGGATTTAAATCAAAAAAATAATAATAACAAAAAAATTAATCATCACACACCATTAATTTTAAGACTTACCATTATTTTGTTCAACACACACACAAAAAATACCTGGCCATTAATCAATGACACGGCGCTGCTTCTGCTTCCTGATTTCAGCTACTGAAATGTGGAATAATTGAAAAACTGTGGCACTAAACTAGGTTTAGCTTATAGTAGTCTGAAAAAAGTTAAAGAGCTCCTCCTCTCCCTCAACACACACACACACACACACACACACACACACACACACACACACACACACACGGCACAGCTGCAGTTAGGTTTTGAAAGTTGCTGGTGAACTGTAATAGCAACTGAAACAGCACCTTCCCTGTAACATGTTCTATATTTACCTAGAAGTTATAATTGTACTAGGGGAAGTTCTATATATCGTTATTTTATCCTGTAGTCTGTAACTATAAAAACCATGACCAAAAAAACCTTTTCTTTAAATCATAAAGTTACTGGAATCTCAGAAGGCACATTAAGAGACCACAGAAGTCTCAGTCCCATTATATGAAATTTACCGGCAGAGCGATGGACAGTCCAGAGAAGGACTGGGATGCACTGCTCTTTCACGATGTCCATTTCCCAGAAAGCTCAGTTACAGCTCAGAAATAACTGTATGAGAAAAGCGGCAAGAATGAAGAGGCCATTAATCCACTTCCTGTTTTAAATTAATCTGCAGTTACTTTGATTGATGTTTCAGCTTGATAGTCTAAGGGATGCCCAGATAGCTGGTAAAACACTATTTCTAAGTTTGTCTGTGAGGGTGTCTCTGGCAGAGATTAGCATTTGAGTCGGTAGACTGAGTAAAGACTCCCCTCACCAATGCAGGTGAGTACCATCCAATCCACTGAGGGCCTGAGTAGAACAAAAAGGCAGAGGAATGGAGAATTTGCTCTCTCTTCTTGATGAGACATCCACCTTCTCCTGCCCTGGGACACTGGTGCCCTGGGGACTGTGGACTCAGATCAGGACTTAATACCATCCATCTCCCTAACTCTCAGGCCCTTGAACTCCGATCGAATTGCATCACCAGCTTTCTTGGTTCTCCAGCCTACTGACAGCAGATCATGGGACCGGTCTCCATAACTGCATGAGCCAATTCTTACAATAAATCCCTTCATATATTACAAGTACATACATATATGTATATAATACATATACAACTGTATATACTATTGGACCTGTTTTTCTAAAGAACCCTTGCTAATACACTTGGAAATGATCAAATATTCAAGGTAACAAAACAGCAGATGAAAACTGTGGGTGTAACCAGTCCCCACTCCCTTAGATTACCATTGGATTAATCTTCCGGTCCAACCCCACTTTCCCATCCCCCCCTTTTTTTGGCCATTCTCTGTTGGAGATGGAATGTGGTGTCAGCCAAACTCTCTGCTTGCAGGGATTAGACAAGAGATTTCAATGAGCAAAGAAAAGTTTTAGCTTATATAAGTTACCTCTGCCAGGGATGGGGTCAGGAAATAGAAGTATTTAAATGCCAATTTCACATACTTTGCATTATCCTGGATTATTTCACTATAAAAGGTATAGTGGACATTTATTTTTGGCAACCTGGCATCCACCCTTAACACCTCTGTTACTGAAATTCTCCTCCTCCACACTCTATCCATGTAGTTTGGGTGGGGCTGACTGGCTCTATGTGGGGCATGTGATTCAGGCTTAAATGGAGCTTCACGTTCCCTGTCCTCAATGATACACTCCGCGACAGGCAAGTGACCCAACCAGAGATAAATAAACCTGAGACTTCTGCTGGGTCTGGAGACAGATGGAAAGAAATGGAGACTGCCTCTTTTTGCTCTGGTCTTGAAGATGTTTGCCTGGAGCTGTCAGCAGTCATTCTGCCACCACACGGGACCTAAACGTGATTCACCCACTAAGCGAACGGAGGTGGGAGGACTTGAGGGAGGCAGGGAAAGGAAGCAAATCCAGACGACAGTTTTGAACACCGCAATAAGACCATATTATACCCATAGATAAGAACTTTTTCATAGTCAAAAAGTGAGCCAATATCCATTTTTTTAAACTTCAAGCCTAAATTGGATTTATTCCTAAATAAAAGATTTACAAACTATCACATGATCAACTTCACTAAATGTAGAAAAAGCAAAAGCATTTGACAAAATGTAATAACAGGGGCGCCTGGGTGGCGCAGTCGGTTAAGCGTCCGACTTCAGCCAGGTCACGATCTCGCGGTCCGTGAGTTCGAGCCCCGCGTCGGGCTCTGGGCTGATGGCTCGGAGCCTGGAGCCTGTTTCCGATTCTGTGTCCCCCTCTCTCTCTGCCCCTCCCCCGTTCATGCTCTGTCTCTCTCTGTCCCAAAAATAAATAAACGTTGAAAAAAAAAAATTAAAAAAAAAAAACAAAATGTAATAACATCCTTTCACAATAAAAATTCTCAAAAATTCGGAATAGAAGGGAACTTCTTCACCCTGATAAAGCATGTAAAAAACAAAACAAGACAAAACAACCCACAATTAACATACTTAATGACAAAAGACTGGAGGTTTTTCCCCTGAGACAACATAAGGATGCTTCCTCTCGCTGTTTCTATTCAATATTTTATTGGAGGTTCTAGCAAGGGCAATTAGGGTAAAAAATGAAATAAAAGGTATCCAGATTGGAAAAGAAGAAGCAAATCTACCTTCATCTGCAGACATGCTCTTACATATTTCAAAACAAATCAAAGCAAAAACCTAAGGAGTTCAATTAAAATTAGAATAAATAACTTCAGTAAC